GGGGGAGCTGCTGGCATGCCGGGTTGTTGCAGCTGCAGCTCGTGTTGGACCGTAGTGGCGACTATTCACGGGATATCCAGCATCATGTCATGCATCTCCCATTGCAACTCCTCTTGTTGGGCTTGTAGTTGACATCGCATCTTCTCCAATGGGTCCTCGCCCATGCCACCAGACTTCCCGTGGTTGTACCACCTCTCATAGCAGGAAAGGTAGTTCCCAGGGAGGCAAGAGTGCGAAGCATCAAGGTCAGGCAACCAGATAAGGCGCAGTGGGAAAGTGCAAGTTAACATTCCAGGACAATAAGATGTTCACTTTACAGACTCCCTTCCCCCACCACCAACCATGGCAGCATAGCTGACAGTGAGGAAAATAAATAACAATAAAATTTCCCCAAAATGTCCTTTTTTCTGGGAAAAGAAACCCTTCCTGGCCTTCAAAAGTTCTAGAGATTTTATACCAGGTACAATTGTGTGATGTCAAGTGGGGGGGGGGACCACTCTGAAACCTAACAACCAAACAACACATAGAAACCCTAACTCAACTAAATATTATATAAAGGACTAATCTGTTCTTAATGTAGATGAACATGAATGTTCTTGAACAGAAAACAAGACACTCTTTATAAAGCACTGTAGGAAATTAGCGAAAACCTGTCAATACATATCCAGGTGCAGCCATAGAACAGGATAAGCCCCCCCCCCCAAAAAAAAACCCCTCCACTATTTCAGAGGCTGTAGGGTGGTGCAGTCAGGAACTCCAGCATGAAACTCTAAGACCACCCAAGAGGAACCTCTATCCAGGGCTGCAGAAGAATCATGAAGCCCCATTCTGGATTTGTCTGCTTCTGGATCCCAATGCTTGTCTGAGATCTTACAAACCACAAAAGCAACAAACTTATGTGAAAGCCTCGACAAGATTTATAGCACTTGCTATTTGGGAGGAAGAAGATGAATGGATGAAAAACTGGCTAATTAATAGAAAACAGAGAGTGAGTATAAATGGGCAATTTTCTCAGTGGAGGGTGGTAAGCAGTGGGGTACCGCAGGGATCAGTACTTGGTCCACTGCTTTTTAACTTGTTCATTAATGATTTGGAGTTGGGAAGCCCCTAATAATAAGGAATGTGATTGTGTTAATCAAGGGGTCCCCCTGCCACATGGAATTGGACATGGGCTCTTCCTTTTCCATTATTTAAGCAGAGAATCTACAAAAACTCTGCCCTGGGGGAAGCCCTCCTGGAAAAGCCATGGGGTTTATCTCTGCGAGACTTTCAGAAGAGCCCTGTGGCCATCAAGGGCTGGGGCAGATTCAGGGTGCAGTTCCAGGACTTTGATGGACTCTTCGATTTGCTGGTGGCAGAAGGGAAACTCACTAGCCTATTGGGACTTGCATGGTTTGGGCCCTTGGGTTTTACTTTCGACGGGTGTCAATTCTGTACAACCACAGACATTTGACACGGTCTGCTGGGACTTTCCGGGAGTTTTCGACAGCATGCTTGGTCGTTACTCCAGTCCCCCCATTTCCCTAGACCATGACCCCGTGGTGCGGCCGATCAGAATTAAGGCCAGGCAGGCACCAATAGCTCTTCAGCCAAAGATAGAAGCCAAACTGGACTGCCTGGTTGCACAGGGCGTGTTGGAACCGGTGCCGCCCGCCCACTGGGAAACCCCCATTGTCACCCCGCTAAAATCGAATGGGGATATCTGCATTTGCATGGATTATAAGTGCACCATTAATAAGGCACTGCAAGACCACGTGTACCCAGTACTGGTGGTCAGCCAAGTCTTGGCTTCCCTTGTGGAGGCAAAGGTTTTCGGCAAGCTGGATTTTGCCCAAGCCTACCAGCAACTGCCGGTCAATGACGCCTTGGCCGAGGCCCAGACTATTGTAACGCACAGGGAGGCTTTCAGGGTCCAGAGCCTGTAATTTGGGGTGAGCGTGGCGCCAGGTATTTTCCAAAACCTGGACTGCCTCCTTAAAGGGATACCAGAAGTCCAGCCGTTTTTTGACGACGTGTTGATTGCAGCTCCGGACTCCAAGACCTTTGTGGCATGGCTCCAGGCCGTGCTCAAGCGCTTTGCCAACAGTGGGCTAAAGGTGAAGTGGGAGAAGTGCATCTTGAGAGTGCCCCAGGTGGAGTTCCTGGGGTTTGCTGTCAATGCCCAAGGGATCCATCCTACCCAGGAGAAAATACCTGGGCCCCCTCACCCTCCTCGAAGGCAGAGCTCCAGGCTTTCCTGCGGCTTTTAAATTTCTACCATTCCTTCATCCCCCACAAGGCCGCCATCATGGAGCTGCTGCACTGGCTCTTGGACAAGCAGGCCCCTTCAGTCTGGGGTCCAGCACACGATGATGCTTTCCGGGCGGTAAAGGACTTGGTGGTCTCTAACACTGTACTCGCCCATTTCGACGAGTCCCTGTCTGTGGTATTGACCTGTGATGCGTCTCTCTATGGGTTGGGGGCGGTCCTGGGTCACTGGCTGGCCGATGGCCACGAGGTTCCTGTGGTCACTATTCTCCCACCCTGTCGGCCACGGAGCGTAACTACACTCAAATAGACAAGGAGGCCATCAAATAGACAAGGAGGCTCTGAGTTGGGAAATACCTGGAGATTTTTGGGGTGGAGCCTGAGCGGTGGGTTTTGCCTTCTGGCACACTTCTGGTGATGTCAGGGGGTGTGGCATATGCAAATAAGTAATGCTAATGAGCTTCTGCACCTCTTTTTCTACAAAATGACCCCTGCTAAAAGGTATTATGCCTTTTTAAGTTCCTATGGTGCTAGTGCCATTGATCATACCTTGCTTTTCTTTTCATTATTGTTGAGGATACAGTATTTTGATATACATAACAGGCCAGAAAGTGATCATATGCCTCAAGTTATATCTCTTTCTGGTTTCTCAAATTCACCATCTAACTCATGTCATACTGTTGTAGGCCCAAAGCAGGGTAAATGCCGTGTGACTTGGAAAGCCAGTTTAGATAATAAAAGCATAACCCATCTTAACTTCTTAACTCAACAGGATACTCTGTTGAGATCCTGTTTAAAGCACTGGAACTATCAAGAGAATCTGGAACTGGATATAATTTGCCTGTCTAACATAGCATTGCTTTCAGGTATCCAATCTCCAAATTTAATGCCAGGCTGAGAAAAGCCCTGAAAATCTACCAGAATAAACAAAGAATTCTATTATAGCCCATATCTTTATGCATTAGAATTTTATTTATTTAATTAATACATATCCTACCTTTCTCCCCAATGAGGACTTAAAGTGGCTTACAACATTCTCCTCTCTTCCACTTTATCCTCACAACAACCATGTAAGGTAGGTTAGACTGAGAGAGTGTGACTGGGCAGAGATCACCCAGAGAACTTCCATGGCAAGATTCAGACCGGTCTCTCAGATACTTGTCTGACACACTTAACTACTACACCACATTGGCTCCCATAAAAGAAAAACAATTGTTTTGCTTACAGTCTAGCAGATAAATTTTTCTGTTTTGAAGGACAGTTAATTAGGGCAACATGCACACAAGTCCTGACTGAGGGAAGACCAAATTCAAACTGAAGCAAGACAGTTGGAGTATCATGAGATAAAAATAATTTTTTTCTAGACATTTTAAAAAAATAATCTCTAAGTTAGTCACTAATATGTCACATTACTAATACTGATATTAATACCTCAAACTTCTGTGCCATCTAAAATTTGAGTTATAATATGGCTCTGAAAAAAGTTTCAGGGCAGGTTCAATAAAATAAAATTAAATTAAATTTAAAAAGCATCTTTTGTATGATAAAATTTTAATATGCACCCTATAGTTCTAAGAGCTATAGACTTTAACATTTCCATATTCTTGAAAATATGTTACATGTCTACAGTACAAATAGCAATTAGCATTTGACAACAAATTCAAAATATTATCAAGAATATGTTTACTGTTTAAATGTGAATAATTTTGGCAACAATTAGTATACTATAATGTATTTAATGACAATATATTATTAAAGGGGTTAGTGTTTTCAGTGTCATAAACTTGATATTCACTTGTTTATTACAAAGTTTGTCTTCTATCTTTCTAAAAATTTTCCTTCCTCTCAAATGGGAAAAATTAAGAAACATGTGCTAAGGCAGTATAGAGTGCAGAACTTTGCAACTGTTAATCAAGTACTGGATATATTTATATTTTTTCTTACAAACAACTAAGGAATTTATATGTTAAATAGTACAATTTTATATGCTAACCAAATTATAAATGATGCATTTTATGTCATTCAGTCAGTAAAATTAATTTAGGTTTAACAATAAAGTGAGTACTGCATGTATCCACAAATAATACAGTCAAGTTTCCCACAGCTGGGGAAATTGCATGGGTCAACACACCAAAATACAGTGAATGACAATCACTCTGGGAGCCCCATTTTGCCAATCACAAGAGAATCTCTCCTGCCAGGTAAGTATGACAGCCAGTGAGGTAATTTTGGGGATTACTAACAAATAATTTTCTATGAAATATTTTTTCTTTAAGAATAAGTGAATTTTTTCTTAAGACAAGGTTTTTCACATTTAAAATGTATGAAGTGAAAAAGTTTGAGGTCTTTTTCCATTTTCCCAAGGGAAATTTGGGGGAGCAGTAGAAGAAGAAAAAAACTTCTTTGAAATATTTTCCTTTTTGCGTGAGAAAACTCATTTTAAAAAGCATTCCACTCATTTCAAATGCACTGCATGAAAAGTCTGAGGACTTCCTTAATTTTTCCAATGAGGAAATTGGGGAATTTGGGAGAGCACTGAAAAAGGACGAACTATTTTCTCTTTTAGAATGAATGAAATACTTCTTGATACAAGCTTTTTCTCACCCAAAATGTATAGCACAGATTTTTTTCAATTTTTCCAATGTAACATAAAACCAGTTAAAATACTAAACTTAAAAAAAACTAAAGAGACTCATTTTCTATTGCAAACAAGAATTCACCTGGATTATTAAAATGAGGATAAATGCACTGACCTGGTGTGATTGCCATGCCATTCCCATTCACCACAGGCCTTTCTTCTTCCTCTTCCTCTGGTGGCTCTATTCCTGTCTTCTCCATATTACTCACTGACTTATTTCTTTTGCGTTTGCCTTCAGCGCTGGGTGTTGCACCTGGGAGTATCTGGTCGGTCACATTTAACAACAATGGGGTGGGCTCTGCTGGAGGCTTTGGAGTACCGTAGTAGTTGTCTACGAAAAAACAAAACAGCAACCAGAGATGAGAACTATGTACATACTAAGTGCTGTTAAATCACAACTGACATATGTCAACCCCCAATAAAGGGTTTTCAAGGCAAGTGTGAAACAGAGGTGGTTTGCTGTTGCCTTCCTCTTCAGAGTCTTCCTTTTCTGGTCTCCAGTGCTGGATTTATGTATAGGTTAAGTAGGCTGAAGCCTAGGGCTTCTAAATCTAGGGGGCCTCCACAGCCCTGCCCACCCAGTAGGCAGTCTCCCCTCTCCCAAAATTGCAAACCCAAGACTTCATGCCAGGGCAGGGCAACTCAGGCCCAGCAACTATGAGACTCCTGGCCAGGCAGTGGGGCTCAATTTGAAACTCTGGAGCCCAAATGGAAATTTTTTTGTGGGGCCCCAGTTTACCGCCAAAGTCTTCAGAATCTTAGAGATATAAATAAAATCCATCTAGATTGCCCTGGTGCGGGGGGCCCCCTAGGAGCGGCCTGTGGGGCCCAATTTGGCCAATTTGCTCCAATTGCCTTCAGGCCAGCCCTGATGAGACTGTGCAGGGGCTGGACTGACAAGCCCTGCTCCTTCTAGGTCCCTGGTGCCACTATTCAGAGTACGGACTCCAGAGCCAGCAGCCCAGAGTCAACAACTAGCTGCTGCACAGCTTTCCCCAGCTCAAGGGTCAGGTCAGTAGTGGTATGTGCTGCACTTTAATCAGTGGAGGAGTGTAAGTGGGTGGCCGGCTGGGGCAGATAGACCAGGCAAGCAAGCTCTCCCAAGTCCCTTCCATTCCTTCCCTCCTCCTTGGCTTGAACAGAGCAAGCACATGTGACTGGCACTGGCCTCACCCCTCCCAGGCAAGGAAGTCTATCTTTCACACTTCACAGAGCCCTGTCGGTGCCTACAGCATGCACTTGCAACCTCTTTCTCAGAACTTCTTGGGTATGAAAAGAAATATTGATGGTGTCAATTGTCATGCCAATAAATCCAAACAATACTGCTTCATACATTAATAGTAGATTAATTGTTCTAAAGACATTGCAGAAGCTAATCAAAGTTTTACATATTTATTTTATATAACATTTTTTGGCAGTTGGCTCTTTTAAATGGCTAGTATTGATTGTTGGATGGGAGCCTGGTGTTTG